ACCAATGGGGGAAAGCGGCGGGGGGGTGGGGGTCGGCGGGTGATGAATTGGGCCATTGGGATTGACATGTATACACTGATGTGTATAAAACTGATGACTAATAAGAGCCTGCTGTATTAAAATAAATAAAGAAAAGAAAAAACTAAAAAACCCAAAATACCAGCTTTTGGTTTCCACTGATTTTCTCTACTGTTGGTCAGCTTCCTATTCAGTAATTTTAGCTCTAATAGGCCCTTCTTCTTGTAGTTTCATAAAGTAAAAGCTCACATCATTGATTTTTTACCTCATTTCTTTTCTTATATAAGGGTTTAAAGCTACCGGTTTTCTTCTAAGCACTTCTTTAGCTGCATTCCACAACCTGTAATATGCTGTGTTTCCATTATCATTCAAACCAAAATATTTTCAAGTTGCCCTTAAAATTTTTCTTTAAGTTACTTATATATGTTATTTTCCAAATATGTGAGGATTTCTCAGATGTCTTTCTGTTACTGATTTCTATTTTAATTCCATTTTGGTCAGACAACATACTTTAAATTTTCAATCATTTGTGTGACCATACTGATGCCTGAGGTCATGGACATTAAGGCAGGCACATCAGGACAGTGACAAGCCCTTCTCTGACAATTGCTTGTCCTTCATCTTGTTCAGGAACATCACAGTCTCCATTGTCCCAAGAAGGTCAAAAGTATGGGTTTAAATTCAAGTGACATTCTACTATTCCACCCTCTCTCTCTCTCTTCCCCCAGCATCTTATTCCTTCCCTCTTCCAGGGCTCCTGACCTTTGTGGAAGTGGGGCTTCAGCTCATGCTCCCAAGAACCCTAATTTCTCCCCACTCTTTTAATTTCCTCCCTGCAAATCTCAGAGAATAATCACTATAGAGAGAAGGTGGCAGCACCAAAAATGAAATGGAGGAGGAAAAGCCACAATACCTTTGATGTCTTAATCTCGAAGGTCACACATTGTCAGTTCTGCCACATTACACTTTAGAAGCAAATCACTAAGTACAACACATGCCTTTTGAAGGGAGGAGTATCAAAAAATTTGTGGACATATTTTAAACCACCAGAACAATGTCATAATTTTTACCCTAAATAATCATATATCTTTTAAAAGAACTAAGAGAGAGAAAGAAAATATGTATAGTCATTTATTTTTATACATATGTATTACCTCTAGTTTCTTTATTCCTTCCTATAACTCATGGATCAGCGAACTAGAGTCCATGGGCCAAATCAAACCCACTGCCTATTTTTGCATGGCCTGAGAGCCAAGAATGGTTTTACATTTTTTTAATGGTTAAGGAAAAAAATCAATGGAAGAATATTTTTGTGACATGTGAAAATTATATGGAATTTAAATTTCAGGGTCTATAATAAAATTTACTGGAATGTGGCCATGCTCATTTATTTATGTATTGTCTACACAGCTCCTTTCACAGCAGAACTGAGTTGTTTCAACAGACCATATGACCCACAAAGCCTAAAATATTTACCATCTGATCCTTTGCAGAAAAGGTTTATCAGCCTCTACTATACATCCAAATTACCATCTGGTGTCATTTGCTTTTAACCTCAAGAATTTCCATTATCATTTTTCATAGAACACATTACGGTGACAAATTCCCTCAGATTATCTGTTTATCTGAAAATATCTTTATTCCAGCTTCATTTTTGAAAGATACTTTTCCTAACTGATGATTGGACATTGTGGATAATACACTGTAACAACAATGAATTGCTATGTTTTCCTGCAGTCTTGATTTTTCTTCTAACAGACAATTAACTTGTCTGGACCCAAACTATAAATTAAGCAACTGCCTGAACACTGCTTTTGTTTGGGGGTCTTGAATTGTTTTGTTGGATTTTAATTATGATTTTTGGATATCTTTCAGCCTCCATTGCTTTTAATGAGAAGACAAGTGTTAACCATATCATTATAGGCAAACCTCATTTTATTGTACTTCACTTTATTGTGCTTTGCAGATATTGCATTTTTTACAAATTGAAGATTTTTGGCAACCCTATGTTGAGCACGTCTATCCGCACCATTTTTCCAACAGCATTTGCTCACATAGTGTCTCTGTGTCACATTTAGATAATGCCTGCAGTATTTCAAAGTTTTCATTATTATAATATTTGTTATGGTGATCTGTGATCAGTGATCTTTGATGTAACTACTAGTCCCTGAAGGCTCGGACTATGGTTAGCATTTTTTAGCAATAAAGTTTTGTTTTGTTTTGTTTTGTTTTGTTTTTGCGGTATGTGGGCCTCTCACTGTTGCGGCCTCTCCTGTTGCGGAGCATAGGCTCCGGACGCGCAGGCTCAGAGGCCATGGCTCACGGGCCTAGCCGCTCCGCAGCATGTGGGAACTTCCCGGACCGGGGCACGAACCCGTGTTCCCTGCATCGGCAGGCGGACTCTCAACCACTGTGCCACCAGGGAAGCCCAGCAATAAAGTATTTTTTAATTAAGGTATGTACATTGTTTTTTTCGACATAATCCTACTGCATACTTAACAGACTACAGTATAGTGTAAACATAACTTTTATATGTACCAGGAAACCAAAAAAATTCATGTGACTCCCTTTATTGTGATATTTGCTTTATTGCAGTGATCTGGAACTGACTCTGAAATTGCTCTGAGGTATGCCTGTATTCCCCTGTATTTAATGTACCATATTTTCTCTGGGCTGCTTTCAAGATTTCCTTTCTATCTTTGGCATTTAGCAATTTGCCTATAATGTGTCTAGTTGTGGTTTTCTTTTGTATTGATTCTAGGTGAAGGTCACAGCTTGTCTTGAATCTCCAAGCTAGTTTTTCTCAAACATGAGAAGTTTTCAAGCCACTATTTCTTCCAATATTTTTCTGCTTCTTTCTCTCTCACCTCTACCTATGGGATTCCAACTAAAGGCAGTAAGAATTCAGCTATCCCCCAAGAGGAGCTATGCAGAGATACAAAAAGCCCTCAGTTAAAAAAAAAAACAGTAAACTTGCAAATCTCACCTACTGCAGTTGTGTCTTTCCAAGGTTATCTCCTATTTGGTTTGCATTGCTCTTTGACAGAGCTCCTATGGTCTCCCCTGAATACTCACAACAGTCAGCCAGGTATGGATGGCAGAATTCGTACTCTAACTTTGAGTTTTAGCCTTTGGCAGCTCTCTCCATTCCAGGATTTTCCTCCTAAATTTAAGCTTCTTTGCTACTCCTCAACTTTATCCTCTGACACTTCAAGCCAGTATGGTTGTGGTTTTCTGTCTCTGAAAACCTGTCTGTCTCATCCATTCACCACTACTATAACCTAAGGCTAGTAGTCCCCCGGTTTTTTAAAAACAATCTCCAAAACTTGAATTTATCATTTTATATTATAAAATTTTAATTATTGGTAGTACTATAATGGAAAATAAACTACCTAAAGTAATGGAAAATCCCAGCTTCCACAAATGTAGAAATAAATGTGCATGTGTACAATGTACAATATCCTCATGCAGCTGCTGCTGAAATTGATGCCTTCCTATTCTACACCCATATATACCTAACTGGAATACAATTAGGCCTGGGGTTGTCAGGCTGAGAGTCATGAAAATCAATGATGCAAATAAACTACTTGCAATTATTTAAAAGTTAAAAAGAATTAATTCAAGTTCCCTCCAAAACATTTGTAGACTGTTTTCAAACATGTCCCATGGATTAAAAGATTAAGAAAAGGAAGATGGGTATTTGGAATAAGTACTTGTATACCTTTCAGAAACAACAGCAATAATTAAGAGCAACATTTGAAGATGTCTTTTTTAAATGAAATACTTACCTTCGTTCTTCTAAAATGAGAAAATATTTTAACAACATTTTTCAAAATGCATTACACATTTTCTTATACCAAGACAGCATAAGTAAGAACTGAAGAAAGAACCCACAACATTTGCTCTTAGGAATTCTACTTATATTCTCCTTTCACTGATAATTAAATACTAATATTCCATGGAATTTCAATCACAGAACTGTGAAGTTAGCAAAGTAAATCTGTGATTTGTAAAAAGCTCAGAACAGACTACATAAGTAATTTAGTCCATTATATGCAAATTGCTGAGTTAGGCTTTGAATATTCTGAAGGATCCCTTTATTCTCACTATAGCAATAGCAGTAGCCAAACAACTGTTATCCCACAACAAGCAAAAGAACCATTTTCATGCAGAATGAGTACAACAAATAGAAAAGGAGAAAACGGAGACCAAGGGCATCTTTTTACACCAATTTTATAAAAAAACAAACAACAACAACAAAAAAAACAAGAGAACACCCTCTATGATTCTGTCATTCTTCCTTAGACAAAACATTAAGTGGTGACTTTGCTCTAAATCAGACATGATAAAATCTGATAGGAGAACATAGTCAAACTAAGTGAATTTGCCAATGAAAACAATATTGCTGATGTTAAAATTCAAGTGTATAAATTAGCATAAAAATCAGCAGG